ATATCGATATTTACACGATACTTAGAATTTACCTACGCGTTTATTTATTCTAAGGCATTAGTATCGCCTTTATTAGACCGAGTCTTACATATTTTAAAGTTAGCAAAAGTATTAACTACTTAGACTACTTAAGCGTAAAGGTAGATTCACTACCACAACATTTTTTTTCTTGTCCAAGCTAGTCGTTAAGGGACAAGCTAGTAGTCATAAGTTAATATTATGACCAAGAAAGACAACACTCCTTCTAAGAAGCGTAGAGCTGAAAAGAAGAAAATGGAGAGTGAGGCAGCTAGCGCTGCCGCAGCTATTACTGCTGCAGAAGCAACCGCCGCCGCTGCTGATGCGTTTAACCGCACTGTAGCCGAAGTACTTGCCTCTGACAATAACAGTCAAAAGGACAATGCTTCAGATAAGGATGCAGCCACTCCGTTTAAGGAGACTACTCCCACTGACAGAGCCCGAGGGCCAACTATTGCCTCAACTTCAAAGCTTGCATTTACAAAGCCAAGAAGTGAGACAAGGGACAGGTCTCAAGACTTCCCAAACATTTCTTCTGACTAAAATCAGAATGGAAAGTCCCCAATTATAGGGGCGTCCTCAATTATAGAGGACAAGGACAAATCTCAAAAGGAACCCATTATGGAACCAGAAGAGGAGGCAAGTTCAAGTAGCGAACCCGAATCTACGTTCGAGACTACTTTGCCAACGCGCATAAGTAAGTTAATTACTGAAAACGCTGATCTTAAGAATCAGTTAGCTACTATTATGAAAGACTTGACTGTCGAGCATGTAGATCAATTAATTAGATCAGGAAAACATCCACAGCACTTACGCGAACATGTTTCCCCGGGCATTACTGAAGCCCTACAGAAGTGGACAGAACGTCGACAGGCAATTACGCTCATAGACTCAAGCTCTACACCTGAGGGATATCATCCAGACGTGCTCAGCGTCTCTATACCTTATGAGGCACTACCTCTAGAAGTACAGGCTAATTACTCGCTTGTTCTGACACCCGGCCGTAAGTCACCCGTCCTCGAGGGTATTATAGACCCAGAGGTAAGAAGATATACTCCGCCACTTGTACCAAATTGGGAAGATAATCGTCGGAAACCAGTCAAGACTTGATATGTTATTCCGACGCATGGATCACCCATGGTTATAATATCAACCGCTATCTGTGGAACAGAGCACCGAAAGGTCTCTACCATGGATTTTACAAGAGGTAATAAACACCCCCGTAGACGTGTGAACGATGTCGAGTTTAATCACTTCGACCGCACAGCCTTACACCAACCCGCAGAGGATTTCTACTCTGACGATGTGACCGAATTTAATAAATCGGTTGACGACTATACCAATAAAATGGAAGTCGCCCATGCTGCGCATCATGCTGATGATGTAGCATAATTCTGTGAATATGATTGCGATTAAGCAAAAGCGCATTGATCAGTTAATTCAGGACCAACGTGGACAAGACCACAGGGACAACCAGAAGTACAAGGGACAGATCAGTCGACTTAAGTCGAACTGGGATGCCAACAGCAAGCAGGTCGAGTTTATAAACAACCATGACCCCGACACGCTAAGCCGTACGCTTAATGCGTTTACGGTCATGCTGGAGACGAATGATGTCGCTCCTCAGCAATGGATCTCAGTTTTAATGCAGACGTTTGACCCTACAGGTACAAGTTATTTGATCCTGCAGCGACACCAGCATGAGCTAGACACTTGTCATGACTGGCCAGCTGTGTGTTGGTTGGTTATATCCTTGTTAATTAAGGACATGCGTAGCCTTGGGCTGAGTTCAATTCTAACTGAACCAGCTGAGAACACGCCCATTCAGAGTTATATTCTGAAGCTAGATGCTGACCTGAAACCTCCAGATATAACAAAGGACACGATACAGCGATGGTACGAGTTCCTGGTTATGCACGTGTTCTGTAAGAACATAGGGAATAACGACCGTGAGAGCCTGTACACCGAGTTGCGACGTAAACACGCGACTGAGGCTCGAGACAAGGGACATGAAACACAGTTTTATCTATCCCGACTTACGTGGGAACAGTTTTATGATACTGTATCCACCCCTTTCCCCGTACATCGAGTAACATCGAAGGAGAAGCCGCGGGAGCACACCGATCACGGGTACGTATTCAGGCAGACCTCAAACGGGAGACCCCAACATATACCTGCTCGCGACTCCACTCTATCCACGCGACCCAATAAACGGGCACGCGCAGGAGCGAAGGACATGTAACCTCCATTTAAGGAGATTAAGAAATGTGCCGACGCCCAGTGTGGATATGACATGTACCAGTTAACCCCTAACGGTTATTGGAATGGTACACATGCATCCACCTGTACACACTTTCTTACTAAGTGTGACAAGTGTGAGAAGACCAATGGCTATCACACTAAGTCCTGTGACCGAAAGCCCAACATTAAGTTGGAGTGACGGTACTACCAGGTACAATCGTTACACAGACAATACAACGACTCTTTAGATGAGCGTGTAATAATCCCTTTATAATGCAATGGAAATAAAATCCTTGCGTTGATTGATCCTGGTTCCAAAATATCATGTATATCCGATCGCTTTGCATTAATGAAAGATGTCGGAAGGAAAAAACAAACAACTCATCTCATTTAAGCTGATGATAAAATCACACTCTTTAGTCCACAAGTCTCCTAGTTTGCCTTTATGACATCTTAAGTGTGTAAAAGGTTAAGGGTAGTCAGCTAAGTGTGGTACTCCATCTGGAAAAAAGTTTACAAACCCACACATACTGTTAACACCTCTTCCTGTAGTCGGTGTTCGCCAATCGCACAGGTGTGCTACCTTACCGGGATCGACTTTAATACCTTCCCCAGATATATGGTAGCCTAAGTACTGTATTTCGCTCATTGCGAAGTGGCATTTCTTCTCGTTAATCTAGGAAGTGTTGCTCGTTGAGTCTCTCAAGGACTCGTCTGACTAATGCGGCGTGTTCGCCTGTCGTCTTAGAAAAGATGATTATCACGATACTTAGAATTTACCTACGCGGTTATATATTCTAAGGCGTTAATATCGCCTTAATAGACCGAATCTTACTATATA